GCCCCGGCCCGAGCGGCGCCGGCGGCAGCGCGCGGGGCCGCCGAGACCCCAGCGCCGCGCCTGGCCGCCCGGAGCGGGGCGAGGGGCTCCGCGCCGCCCTGCCCCGCCGGTTCATTCATCTACAACCAATTCCCCCCTTTTTGGGGCCGTTGCGGGAGAAGCTGCATGGGAGCGAATGCACTGCAAGCGCCGGTGCAAAATGGGTGCAGATCAGGCCGTGCAGGGAACACGCAGGGGCTCGGTCATTTATTAAGGGGCAAATCTGCTTTGGCGTTCGTAAATTCGTATTGCTGCCAGGGAGGGTGGCTCTGGCACGTCCCTGGCTTCCATAAACCCTTGGCTCAAAGCTGCATCCAGACCTGGTTCTCCCAGCTTGAGATTTCTTTCGGGGTCCCTGCTGCTGGTCCTGCTTTGGGAGAGGTGTTTGCAAGACCTCTCCTGCGATGGGATGGACCCTGCACCTGTGTAGAGTTACTCCAGGTTTCCTAAAAGTGTCTGCATGCCGCAAGGCTGGGCCAGGGACGCGCCAAAGGCTCTTCCCCAGCCCAGCCCACCACGGAACCTCTTGTTTTCCTGTCATCCTTGTGTTTTCTTTGAAATTATTAGTGCACATAAAGCCACACATCCTCACGTGCACTGGTATTGTCTAGCAAGTTGTAAATACTTAAGAATACATGAGGTGCTGTGATGCTCATCTATTGTCTAAGGCATAAATAAATGGTCTGCGCCTCATCTACTGCAAACCTCTCATTTTAGTGTTTGAGCGCTTTCTGGAGGTTGTGCTAAGAGAGGCTGGCATTGTCCGGGATTGCCCTTGCCACTCTTCTCACCCGTTTGCTTGGCCCACCACGTGTGTTTTGCTGACTGTCCCAAGGCTGCTTGCAACGCACAGTGACCCAAGCGGCAGCTCTCGCACTGCCCCGGCCTCGCACGCCCTGCTGTCTGTAGGAAGGTATTTTACGAAAACAAGGGGTTTTCATTCCCTGAAACGGGGTCAGTGAAAGAAGCGGCAGAGCTGCAGGGTGGTTGTCACAGCTGACCTGGCTCAATGGTGTTGCTAGACCCCAAAATCACGATGGAATTGCGTAGTGGGAGGCAAAAACAAACAGAAACCCATTAATGCCTGCCTTTTGGAAGAAAGCCCTTTTGTTTTCTAAAATATTTAAATGACTTTACAATGATGATTATTACAATAATGGCCAAGAAAATGCCACTTAGGATTCATAATGTTCTCTTATTTCTGGACCTTGCTTTTGCCATTATTAGCTGGCTGCTGCTGCACACTTCAGAGAGGTTCTCCGTGACAATTTTGAGGAAGCCACGTTGAGCAATGGCTAATACGCAACCCAGCTGAAAAAGAATGTTCTCTTCTTGATGCTTTTGGCCCTTCCTCGATGCAAGCTGGCCCGCAGCAGCAGCAGGAGCCGCAGTGTCAGCGCTGGGCTATGAGGAATGGTTTGTAGGGACGGAGGCTGGAGCGGTGAGCAGAGCCCAGCCAGCGCAGGCTGGCAGTGCTGGACAGTGTCACTGCGTCCAGCTGGGCCCAAGGGCAGGATTTCAAGTGTGCCTGCCAGAGGAGCCAAAAATCCCCCCAAAATTCTCCTTCGGGAGCACGGTTTTGCTCTGGAGAGGCTCCGCTTCACAGGGGGACAGGTCAGAGGAAGGTTTGTAGGTGCTGCCTGTACCGACCATCACAGCAAGGCAACGAAGCAAAAATGAGACGTGATCTCTGCTGCCTTCACTCATGGAAAATGTGGCACTGAGCAGGATCTCTGCAGCGACGTGTTCCCAGTGTTAGCGACAGCGCTCTGGAGGGGAAAGGTCATGTTAAAAAAATCATTAAATGCCCTTTTGAAAATATTTCTAATATTAATATTAACAGAGATACATATAGTTTTAAGATGAAGAATATTAAGACTATTAGGCAGCAGTTACCTTTAATTTCCCCCGAGTAATGCTGCTATCTGCAGGGAGAGCAACAGATGCCTCAAAATCTCCAGCCGCCCCGGCTCTTCCAGCAGCGCTCTTCGAGTCAGGTGCTTTTCCAGGTGATGGATCCAGATGGGTCTGACTGTCGGCGTGTGTCAGGCACAGAGCTGGCGCGTGCTGCTTTCTCAGCACCTCACAGTATTATCTTATCTGCAGTGCAATTGCTCGCATCACTGAAAGCGAAATGGGAGCACGGTGCTCGCCGAGCTCGGCTCTCCCAGACGTTTCCGAGCAGTTTCCTACCGAGGGGTTACCCTGCGGAAAGGCAAGAGCAGGAGCTGCTCCTTGGTGGCTCGGGGAGGATTCATTAGCGAGCAGCAGGAAAGCACCCAAGGGAGAGCAGGAGATAAATAAATGCAAACTGTTCTTACTTGTAGCAATCAAAGATATTACACTGAGGCGAGGAGGTCCCAACACTGACCGCGCCACCAGAGCCAAGGGCTCCGGGAGCGTTTGCCCTAGTGAAGCCACGTCGAGCACTTCTCACAGGGAAAGCTCCTAACATGCTTTATCATCATCATCACCGTGTGCCTTTCTGTAACCAACCGACACTCTGAGGAGGCTAAGCTTTAATTAGGAAATAAAAGGTAATTAAATTATAAAAAACATTGTTCACCACCACCAAACATGGGTACTTCACTAGCTTGGCTCATACCAGGGTCCTCTGGGGACAGAGGTGAGAAGCGAGCGGGAAGTCGGGGTAGTGCCGAGTGTGTCGCAGCATCCACGGGTTTTGAACACGAGGAGAGGGCGGGGGCTCCCGCGGGGCCCTTCCCCGGTTCCCTCTGCGGATCTCCCGGAGCAGACGTGCCGCGGGAACACGCTCCACTTCCCGCCTGCAGCCGGCCTCGGCGGGAAGCCGCGTCCCTGCTGCGTTACTCGGCGGCAGTGCCCGGCCGGCCCCCTGCTTGGCTGCATGCTCCGGGAGGAAACATTTGTTCCTTGAAATTGGCTGAAATGGTATAAGCTTTTTTACCCCCTCTTTTTTTTTTTGGTATCAAAATAAATCCTAAAGAAATAATGAATCTAATTCAGGCTGGCAACGTCAGGATCTATTCTCCTGGCCCCTGGCTAATCGGATTGCGCACCACGCAGGACGTTCTCCAGCACAAATCACGTCAGAAGAACCGAGGCCTGAATCTCGAGCAGACGTTGGCTTAGGAGGCCAACCCGGCACCACGGGCTCACCCAAACCGTGCCCGCCGGCACAGCACAAGTACTGTCCTACCCTTCTGCCTTGCACCCTTTGGCTTCCTGCAGATGTTTTCTGTGGGACTGAATATGACACATTTGTCCAAATTTTGAGGGGGGACAGCAGAAAAAAAAGAACATCTTCTGATACTGATGTTTTGATAAACTGCCAAGCAGCCCCTTCAGCACCCAGCCCCGCGCGCCGCCTGGCCCCAGCGGGCACAGGGACGGCCGTTCAGCTCCGTTCTCTGCACCTCACCAGGGACAAAACCAGCAGGAAACCATCACCTGCAGCTGCAGGTTTCTTTTTTTTCCTTCTAAAGAATGGCCCACATCCATCAGTGCTAATTATAGCAACGATCATCCTCTGTCACCAGCTACCAGCGACTAATGTCATGCACCGTCTGCAGGCCAAGCCAGTATTAGATTCTGCGCCTGTCGCAGATGGATGGCCTGGCTTTCCCACTGGAGGGGACCAGCACTGAGAAATGGGACAATTTAGCCTCTGCCAGCAAGCACGAAAAGGTGGCACTGAATAACTACTGCAGCCACAGGGCTTTGCTACTTCCAAAGGAAAGTCCTTGGCACTCCCCACCTCTGAGCTCCCGGATTGATTGGAACAACCCAAAACCATCCCAAGGGCTCCTCCTCACGGGGAGGCATCGCTGAGCCCCATCCCCAGGAAGAATTCTGCCCCGAGGGACGTTCACTGGACCTGTGAATTCAGGACTCTTCATACCGAGCAAGTTTGCCTTGCAGCTTGTTGCACATTGACCCTTTCCACAGGTGTTTTGAAGATATTTTGAAAAGTGGCTCAACACAAAGTGGCCAAATTTAAGCAGTCCAAACTTACAAAGAGACTTTTTTTTTTTTTTTTTTTTTAAAGGGCTCTCTTTCTCCCTTTAAATAAGCATACTGTTCTTTCCTTTGGAAGGACTCTTGATTCTTAAGACAATCTCTACAATTTATTTCCCTTGACTTCCTTTCAGTGAAGGAATGGAAAGAGACATGAATGAAAACACTGAATGTGGTGGAGAAAATGCAGAGGTTCCAAAGGCAAAAGATGGAGAAGCGACGGCTGTTGGTTGGCGTGGGCTTCCTCGCAGGATACCCGAGCGGCAAGGGCTTGCCTGGATGTCCAGAGCCAAGAGGGACTTGGCTCCGGCTTCCTCCCCCTCTTCATTCCCACGGGAGCTAGGGTACAGTTTCCCCCTGCACACCCAAGGTCTCAGGTAACACAAGCGGCTCTTCCTGCCCTTGCCAAGAGAGCAGAAACGCTCCAGCAAAGGCCAGAGCTCCAGGCCCATAGGAGCGGGCTGGAGCGCATCCTCCTTGCATCCCTTCTGCCAAAAACTCCAGCATGTTTCGGGCTTGTTCTCCAGCTGAACAGGCAGAAAAAATCATAAGGATACCCGAGGGGGTAGGAGAGGCAGCTCCAGCTCATCTCTAGAAGGGCTCCTGGGATGCAACGCTAGTTGTGGGGCTGGAGCCCATCACTGGAAGGATGCGATGGAATCTGAGCCAAGGGACAGAGCGATTTGCACGGACTCCTG